CTCTTTGAGAAAAGAGAATTTCAAAAACGGAGGTCCGTCGAGCACACATAAATAAATATGTTGTAGAGAAAGAAAGAGTCGCGCATGTAGAAATAAATGAGATGTCCCAGATTTTTGGCACGCCATTTCTGATGGAATTCAAAGTAGACGCCATCATGGCGAGGATTTATATCGCAGCCCTTGGATTATCCTTTCCTCGGCCGAAAACTTATATCGTGGCGTCTACATTATCAAAGTGTCAGATTCATTTCATTCTCCGTCGCGTGCTAACTACGAATTGCAAGCTCACCGCCGAGAGATTGAAGGTCTAATGCGCGTTTCGTATAAATGCACGCGATAACCTCTCGGAGAGGCGCAGACACGCCAACATTCATCTCGCGATATTTTCATTGTTCTTGAAAAATGCTGTCGTAACAAGACGCAAATATCACAAATGTAACATATACCTAACACCAATCGCTCCGAACGAACTTCAGCATATGTTTGCTCATGTTTTTTTATCCTGTATCTTTTCGATATCTCATTGATAATCGACCAGTCACGATAGATAACTATAATGAAACACACATACACACGTTATCACGGAAAACAACGATTAAAATTCTACGTACATAACACTCGCTCGTTTTCGCTCTTGGTCAGTCTTTAGCTAATCTTCAAGCATTTTAGAAAGCAATCAACGATAGAAACTGTCTATTAATTACCTCATTAGACAAAGCTACAATCCTTTGGTACACCGAATATAATCGCGTGTTTTGTTATTTCTCCTTTCTGTAAGCGTCGATTGGACGAGCGTCACGTTTTCGTCGTAAGTAGTGGAAAAGACCCTGAGTTCGTTAAGCGCACTATTCGGATTAATCTCCGGTCTGAGTGCAAATGTACCGAGAGCGTGGTCTGGTGACATTCGCGATACACTGTCTTTGTATCAATAAAGCATAGTAACGTGATGCATGTCGCTTTATCTCTATTGAGGTTCGTGCGGTCGCGTATGCGCGTGATGATAATAATTTATAAATTCGAGCTTAAACATTCTCTATAGTTGAGTGTGAGCGTTTCATCGTTTCGCTTGATTCGATTCGCACTGGAGCGCGGGTCGTAGAAAGCGCGAGTCGAAATCAAGAGCGACCCCGCGCAGTGGCAAGTCAGTGCATGAAGAACGAGTAGTCGACGTGGAAGACGAGCGCAGCGTCTACGACGTATCGATAGAAGGATCTGCCGGAATCTGCGGAAGGAAGATAGGCGCGGACTCTCTGAAAAGGGACGCGGTGCGATCGTACCTTTTACGTAAGTCGGTCGCGTGCTTTGTGCCAATTTGACGTGCAGTATTTATTGTGCGCGGGCGAATAATACAGCGCGCAGACATTGCTGTCAATCTTGCTGTTGCACGAGCGGCGGTATCGCCACGCGAGCGATAAGTACCATAAGTGCCATAACGTCTCAGTAGGAGACGTGGAAGTTTATCCTCCACATTGTTTTACCGATCCTGCTCGATTAATATCGAGATAAAGAGGCAACAGAGGAGGTGGCTCAGAGTCAGTGCTGCTCGGTGGTTCAGAAATTCGATGAGTGATTTAATGGACGAGTGCGAGGCAAGGCTGATATCGATGTCGGTGCGCCTCGAATCGCGCTCTCATATACATACGCAACAATTGTGAAATATGAAATGCATAGCGCGTATGCATTGGAATTGCTCGGTATTAAGAGGTATGGTTCTTTCAGCGATGAGAATATAAGACGTGGAAGCGGAATCTAAGATCAATTCTATCCACCGTGTGCCACGTACGGTGTACGCGTATTACGTTGAATTCCGCGCATGTGTGTCAACCCATAGAAGCTTTTATGGAATCATATCCGGGAGGCATACGAGCATTCTTTTATTCGCAAATGTATTCGCTTTGACAGAATATCGCTGCAATAATTGAATCGTCCATTTGACGTGGCCCCTTCAGTATTATTATCTCAATGTATTCCGCGCGCACGTTATGCATGTGTTCGGACGTTGTACGGAAGAGACACGTATAAAAGCACACTTAACAAATCGCGGTAAATTGAAATAATTGCCATTCTTCGATTCGAAGTCAATTATAGAAGAGGCACTGTTTATATATATCTATCTTGTTGCTATCATCGTCACAACAGCGATGACGTTTATTGCTCCATCTCTCAAACCGCCGCCCCTCCTCTCTCTCTCTCTCTCTCTCTCTCTGTTTCAAGATAATTTAACTCCTTCTGATAGTAAAGTACAATTCCATTGCTTCAAAAATGTGAAAAAATAAGATAAAACTATCAGTTTAGAGATACTTCAAACGGCACGTGTAACTCTATATATCTGACGTTCTCTATGTATATAGGATACAATTTCGACGTAAAGTACCTCTTTCAGAATAAAATGCGGTGAGGTAATTTTTTTCGAAAATAGCCAGGAAATTGTCAGATATGAAAGTGTTACGCTGATATCATGTCAACGAATGTTTCATTATTATCACCGAGATCGAGTTTAACTAAATATACATGCTATTTAAGTGTAGAACGTGAGCCTGATCATAACTGCGCAAAAAGTATGCTAAATACCGTAATATATAGCATTCATCTATTACCGAATCTTTGCTCGGGAGTATTCTCTCACAACAGCTCGAGAATTTCCATTACAGAAGCCGTACAAAAGAATCCGTAAAAAATATCCGTAAAAAAATTGTATAATATATATCGATACTTTTAAATTAATACAATTTGTCGAAATTCCAATTTTTTAATATTATCATTGCATATTTCAATTATAGAAATATTATGTTTACGTCATCACACAAGGACTTGCAATAATACGAGTCGTATTTGTATAATTAGCATAAATAATGGTAATACGATACGAAGCCTTTTTATATATTTCCCAGTCCACTCCCGTGAAGTATACGCCGCGTATGAAGTTACATGTATTAAGTTACACGTTGCGTGTATAACGGAATATAATTATCGGTAAAGTACGGATAAAGAGAAAATTCCTCGCATATCTTAGTTCCTGGAGACGCTGACTGGTTCGGCTCACCGCAACTTATTAAGGGCGCTTCGTACCTCCGAGCCTTTTTAAAGCTGCGTCATTTTTCTCCGATACAACAAAAAGAGAGAGAGAGAGAGAGAGAGAGAGAGAGAGAGAGAGAGAGAGAGAGAGAGAGAGAAAAAGACACGGCCGGCAAAAGTTACACAGCGGAAGTTGCTTCATCAGGCGTTTCCCGTATTTGGAACTTGTAATAACAAACCTGTCGTGCCAGGAGGCGCGGCCACGGGGGTGAAATATGACCTATTTTCGTCACTCTCCGGATTGAAAGTATTTCCGACGTCTGAGGGTTAAGCTAAGGCGGGAAATGTCGGATCGAAACGCGGGGGAGAAGAACGGAGGGTTCTTCCTACTCGTCGTGGATCGCGCTATAACGCGGGCTGACGTGTGTCGATATACAGAGGCGTCTCACGTGTTTCGGTCCAGCGCCCGGTCTCCCCGGGACCATAACTCGATATCTCCTGGAAAATCCCTCTATCGTGCTTTACAACCTATACGACGTTCCAATTGAATGTCAGCCTAGGTGCCGAGGCGACAACCTCTTGTAAATACCGCGCAGTGGCTCGTTCGTCTTTAACCCTTCCGTTATAGTCCGTCGGCGGTGTACCCCGGGGACTAGGGGGGAGGAGGAGGGAGATAGCGAGAGAGAGAGAGAGAGAGAGAGAGAGAGAGAGAGAGAAAGTGTAGTAATTACTCCGGCCGCGAAGTACTTTAATCTCTTACTCGAAATTAAAATTTCAATCGGTCTTCATTTTTCAACACTGCGAGCCATGTGTACAGGCCAAAGTTCGATATCGGAAGCTTTATTCGCGTCTTAAATTTCTGCGGCCGCGATATTTTTCGATTAGTTTAAACTAATGTAAGAAAAGTATTATGAGAGATCTGATCTGTCTATCTGTCCGCGATTAGCCGATCTTTCCATTGTTCTCTAGCGTGTATCGTAAATCGTAAAAAATTATCATCGATTGTTTGTTACAGTCAGACTCCGTCCTGTCAAGTTGCAATTACAGTAGTGTAGTAGATTGTAATAAGCGTGTCTTTCTTTCATTAATTGTCTTTCCTAGTGTGCCGCCATAGTCATATATTTTACGTCCTTACAGCTTGTCTTAAATCTCAGAAATCGCATATCCGGAAGCCCGTACCGCACATCTATCTTACATTAATATTCCGAGTCGTACATTCGCCAAGTGACGTAGCCTCGCGATATTCGTCATCGCGAGATAAAGTCATCAGCTTACATATCGAATGTACGCGTCGCGTGCGAAATCAATAATCTCGCTGAAGAGATTGCTCGCTGGTATCTCGCCTGGCAAAAGAACGCAGGTATCGTTATTCTTTTGCAGAAGGACAAAGTCAAGAGTGTCTCGATAAAGCATGATGCGTGCCGGCTCCCTCTTTCGCAAGATCAATGGCTCGTGCACGCTATCAGCAGTGCAGCGTCGCGCGAGGTCGATCGCGCCCGCGATCGAACGTTGCAAGATGAGGGATGTGGACAGCGAGTCGCAGCAGCATGTGCGGCCGTACGAGGATATTCCCGGGCCGAAAAAGTGGCCTCTGATCGGCAACGTTTTCAGATTTCTGCCGTATATAGGTAAGAACCGCCTTCACGACCGGGACTCAACCCGGAACTCTGAAATGTTTGTCATATCGCCGACTGCCCTCGGCTAGTGCCCGGTTTTGAAATTTACGACTGCGAAAGCGAGCGTCATAGAATAGAGCGTCTCGCGACTCGTGACTGCTTAATAAAGCAGTCGCACATCAGATATCCCTCCCCAGAATCAAGAATCCCTGGTCGTCTAAATGCGACGAAGCGTTCGTTACGCTTCGCACCGTTCTGAACCGCACGCGCGGGTGGAATCGTTGTTGCGTTTGATTAGCGTGTTTAATAAAACCCGCAGGTGAATACGCCAACGTGGATCTCGTAACGCAGCTGCGGATGTTCCGCGAGAAGTACGGCAATGTTGTCAAACTGGAAGGCTTACCGGGCCGGCGGCGTACCGTTTTTCTGTTTGAGCCCGAGCAAAACCAGATGATGCATCGGTTTGAAGGCACCTGGCCGATGCGAATAGCCATGGAGAGCCTGCACCACTATCGCATGAGCAGGCCAGACTTCTATGGTGATCAAGTCGGTCTGGCAACGGGGTCAGTAATGCGTCTTCGAGGAATATCATATTAACGGAGGAAAGTTCCTCCATTCTTCAGAGTACCGCATATACGTATTATTCCTTGCCCCTTATATTAGCATGATATTGAAAAAATTACAATGCAAAGAGCAAGTGCTATAATAGTTCGGCCTGCCGTCGCTCGAAGAGCGGACCGATTTTTCGATCGCACCGAAATCGACTCCGAGGTGACTTATCCGTCACGGCCACGTACATGGAGTACAACGCGGTAGCCAAATTATTAAATTAATAACGCGACTGTCGCGAGCGGCTGTCGATTGACGCAAGTAAGTGTAGATATTCTCGGCTGGCGACACGAGAGATACAGTGAAGCGCGAATGTCGTCGATATCCCGAAAATTCATCCCAAAATATGGGAACACCAGCTGACAAAGCAACCCGCTAACCCTGGTGGTCCTCGTCGTCATCCTCTCTCCCCCCCCCTCTCTCTCTCTCTCTCTCTCTCTCTCTCTCTCTCTCTCTCTCTCTCCCTCCTTCTTTCTCACTCTCTCCCATCAGTATCTCCTGCCTATGTCCTGTACGGTCGATAGTCCAGCTAGTCCACACAGAGTACACACAGAGAGAAGCACATAGGCCAAACAGTAGGCCTACGTAAATTGCGCACGATGTCCCATCCCGTCCTCTCCGTCGAACAAGGAGAAGACGGTGCGCGCATTATCGCGCTCCTTCCGCTTTCAGCCAAGGCAAATCGTGGCAAGACTTCCGCACAAAGGTCAACCAGTACATGATGCAACCTCGAGCGGTCAGGGCGCACGTCACGCAAATCCACGACGTGACCATCGATTTCATGAAGCTGATGCAAACGTTGCGGGATCCCGACACCCTGGAGGTGCCCAACGACTTCTTCAACGAGCTGTGCAAGTGGAGCGTGGAGGGTGAATATGCGCGCTAGTCTCCCGCGTACGCGACCGGGTTTCGCCGAATATTTATGCTTGTGATATGTTTCACGGTTCTCTTCGTAAACGAAACGAACCGGACTGGAGAGAATATGATATCGACGTGTAATTGACGCGACAATACCCGCGATAAAATGCAGCGGGTTGTATAACGCGCTCTCTTCCCCCAAGCCCTCTTTCTATTTCTCTCTCTCTCTCTCTCTCTCTCTCTCTCTCTCTCTCTCTCTCTCTCTCTCTCTCTCTCTCTCATTGTCGATTCAACGCGGCTCGCGTTATTCGACGTATATTCGACATGAAATCACGGATCTATCCACGTAAATGATAAACGAAAGCACTACCGTAACGTTACGTTACGTTACGTTACGTTACGTTACGTTACGTTGATCCGTCATTGAGCGCTAACATTGAGCCCGGAATCGGAAACATCGACGATAATCTGCCGTTAATGTGATTAACAGCGATATGCGCGATCGCGCTGGACTGCCGACTGGGTTGCTTAAAGCATGATCTGCCTGCGAACTCGGAGCCGCAAATAATGATTAATAACGTGCACGCCATGTTCGACCTCATGTACCGCTTAGAAGTTAAGCCGTCCCTGTGGAAGCTATACAATACGCGGAATCTCAAGAAGTTCTTCCGCACGATGGATACGCTTAATGGGTAAATATTGAAACTTATACTCGTTATATGTCAGCGTATTACGGCAAAGTCCCGCGAACGCGCGAACTTGTTACTTCTCGTCGTCATTACCGTAATGCTTGATATATCTCCCGGTAACGAGTATTCTCGCGTCGCGTAGTTATGAGCAGCTCGTCGCTCGGATAATGGATCGTTGTTGAACCCGCGCCGATTGCTTTTCTTCGTATGAGGAACGAAAAAAAAAGCAAATCGAAAGAGAAGAAGCAGAGAGAAAAGAAAATGGCTCTTTTTCACTAATCGACCGCGTTTAATTCCGCGGCCGGTGCGGCGCGGCGTTTCCCGCTGCGTAATTTCTTCCGCGCGTTATTACGAAAACACAAGCGCCGTTCATCGTCGTTAGCACACACTCGGCATTTCATGACCGCGCGCGATCGACGCTCGCGCGAGATCTCGATTTGTGACCTGTTCGTTGATCTTCCTCCAGGGTAGTCATCAAACACGTCGATCGTGCTAAGACGAAGTTCATGGAGCAACCGTCGAACGCGAGCGCGGGTGAACGCAGCATACTGGAAAAACTGCTGCATATCGATGAGAGAACAGCTCGCGTAATGGCGGCCGATATGTTCACGGCCGGTATCGATACGGTGAGTACGAGATTTCGCTTTTAATAGCTCTACCGTCCGCGCGAGCGAACGAAATTATTCTTCTCCCCGAGCGGCGCAAATCGATATCGTCGTTGTTGCAGACCGCCAACACGGCCGGTGCCTTGCTGTATAACATTGCGAATAATCCGGACAAGCAGGAGATAATGCGGGAAGAAGCCAAGTCCTTCTTGCCGGACAAATCGTCCCCCGTCACGCCCGACATCCTGGAACGCGCGAAATACTCCAAGGTCTGCATCAAGGAGTCTCTTCGTCTGTTCCCCATCGCCATCGGCTCGCTCAGGACCATGCAGACGGATGTTACACTGGCAGGGTATCACATACCGAAAGGGGTGCGTGCAATTCGCCGCGAAAATTTCCTTTCTTTTTCTTCCCCTCTCTCTCTCTCTCTCTCTCTCTCTCTCTCTCTCTCTCTCTCTGCGCCCTTACAGATGATATAACGCTCGAGATTCTCAATGTCGACGAACCAATTAATTTCCGCGTCCGCGTGCGCACTCTTATCGACGCGCTTGACAAACGTTAATTAGCTAATGAGTAATTGGGTTATTCGTCGTACAAATGAGACGGCGGGAAATCAGATGTTAAGTTGACGACCAGGGGGAACAAAGGAAATCGGTAATCTGCCGCTCTAGGCTAGAATTAGGCGCGCACGAGACAAAACGAACGGCATCGCATTCTACCGAATGATCCTTCGCCGTCTGCCATCAGGTTGACGTCGTAGCCTGTCACTCGGTAACCGCGTTGGACGAGACGCACTTTCCGCAACCGCAAAGGTTCATCCCCGAAAGGTGGTTGCGGGACAACACGGACTTCGTATCAGCCAAGACCGCGCACCCCTTCTCGTACATGCCTTTCGGATTCGGCGCTCGCACCTGCATCGGCCGAAGATTCGCGGAGATGGAGCTCGAGACGCTGCTCATGACAGTACGTAGACTTTCCTACTCCTGCCAATCTGCGCGTTGCCCGATCGCCCGCGGGATACGAATCATGATAACGCCTTCGAGATAACGCGCGACTTTCATCAGGGGATACTGACGACTTAACCACCGCTCGACGAGAGCCGCTTTAATCTTCGCAATTTCCAACTACTCGAGAGCCTTAACTGGATGGGACCAGCTTTTAAGAGGGGTCTGATCGTTCTCGGTGCACGATGTGTTTGCTAACTTTTATCTTATCTAACCGTTATGTTTGTTTCCTCACTTTCCAAGTGCGCTTTTTATTTGTCGCTCGCTCTGATTTACATCTCTCACGCCAGAGACGCTCGATTCTCTTACATCGCGCCGTCAGAGATTCGCCGAGAAGTGAAAAGATAGTTTAGCACGGATAACGGATGTATTTCGTTAATTTGGTCCGCGGATTTCCACGCGTACACATTCAACGCGCTCGCGTACGTTCACACTCGCAGGTGTCTCCGATGTGCGAATGTAAACGTACTTAGATGAATGTGGCGCGGAAAACCGATTTTCGTCGGTTTGCTCTCAATCCGCTCGTACGTCTCTCTTGCATGGAAAACTCTAGGATTTTCTTCGCCCGATGTTTTATTCATGCGTGCTAAGCGACGATGTTTAATAAGTTGAGAGGTTTAAGCGAAAGTATATCGCGTGCTAAGATAATAATAGAAACGGACTACGTGTTCGCATAATATACAGATTCTCTTGGAACGACTATGCGTGACTGTGCATGGCGATGAAATAACGATATCGTGCTCAAGTATGAATTCCCGAAGGGCTAAATATTCTGGCCAACTGCCGCCGGCGCCGTGACTCTCCTCATGGAAAAAAAAGAAAGAAAAAGAAACAAAAAAAGGATCGAAGAGCGCGCGATTCTGTAACTCGTCCCCACGCACAATGGGCAAAAAGACTCATTTTTTGGACAAAAATCTACCGACAGTGCGATTTTCAACCGATTTCAAAATTCTTTTTTTTTAATTTACTCATGAAACATTGTTCTACAACGTAGTACTGCGGCATTGATGAAAAAAAACTGAAATTCAAAATGGTGAATAGAAGATGAGTGACGAAAGTATTGTATTCCTGTCGAATGATACTTTCCTCTTATAATATTAAATATATTTACACTGAAATTGTTTGTTAGGTCGCTAAACATGAATTTGAGATCAAACTTAAAATAAAAAAATCAAAATAACATTTATTATAAAAGTAAAAAATGTCGAAACTTTGCAAGATTTATTGGATTTACAAAAAAAAAATTATTATGCACTTGGCACATAATTATTTAAAAATTTTTCATATTTTAATATTAAATTTGTACAAAATAGCAGAATTTTGTTATATTGCTTTATAATTGCTTAGAATAATGAAACAATATTTAAGCCCTTATACCACGTCAGGATATCGGCTATTATAAGGGTACTGATTTTTTTGTTTTTGTTTTTTATTTTTTTGTTTCTTTTTCAATTTTTTAAATGTTTTTATTTATTTTAAATGTTTATGTTATACTTGTTTGAATTTTCTTCTACCTACATGTTTTATTAGGTTAATATTTTTATGAGATCTCCTAGTTGAGTCATACGACTGATTTTAATGCTATGTGCAATCATTCGGCACACACATACACACAAATGGCGTTTAAAACATAAAAATATTAACCTAAAACATGTAAGTAGAAAAAAATTCAAACAAATAACATCAAACAAAAAAATAACATAAACGTTTGAAATAAACAAAAACATTTAAAAAATTGAAAAAAAAAACAAAAACAAAAAAACCAGTACCCTTATAATGACCGATATCTCGACGTGGTATAAGGGCTTAAATATTGTTTTATTATCTAAGCAGTTATAAAGCAATATAACAAAACTCTACTATTTTGTATAAATTTAATATTAAAATATGAAAAATTTTTAAATAATTATGTGCCAAGTGCATAATAATCTTTTTTTTTATAAATCCAATAAATCTTGTAAAGTTTCGACATTTTTTACTTTTTATAATAAATGTTATTTTGATTCTTTTATTTTAAGTTTGATCTCAAATTCATATTTAGCGACCTAACAAACAATTTCAGTGTAAATATATTTAATATTATAAGAGAACAGTATCATTCGACAGGAATTCAATACCTTCGTCACACATTTTCTATCCGCCATTTTGAATTTTAGCTTTTTTTCATCAATGCCGCAGCACTACGTTGTAGAGCAATGTTTCGTGAGTAAATTAAAAAAAAAATTTGGAATCGGTTGAAAATCGTACTGTCGGTAGATTTTTGTCCAAAAAATGAGTTTTCTTGCCCGCTGTGCGATGTGTGTTTAATGAAGATCAAACGGAGATGACCACTTTCATTTCAGTTAATATCTGTAAACGCACCTGTCTCCCGAGTATTTACACATATTTTCCACGTATGTATCCAAATGTCCAACTTCATTAGATTGCGAGAGATTGTCGTCGCATCTGGCAAAAGAAACATCTCATTTCTCGCGGGACAAAGCTCAATGTGGAAATTCAATAAGTCATCACAATTCGCCGATTGATCGGCGAGAATTATGAACATTTTGAAATCGCACGTTCCGATTAACTCTGATTTTTAGGAGAATTTTCGCGCGGGAAAACCGTCGACAGTTCGCGCAGCGCGCTGTAAAAGGAGAAGTGTTGTAAAAACGCATTTGTGTTTGATCTAGGTCGTGCGAAATTTCCGGCTTGAATGGCACCACGAGCCGATGAAGTACAAGAGCAAATTTATAAACACGCTGGGGACACCGCTGCGATTGAAGATCATCGATCTGTAGAGAGCGTCTCGGGTCCGGGTGTTTCGTACGACATCTCGCGCTGTGTTTTGAGAGACACGTTGTCGGTTTACCACGTTTCCCGTGACGCTTTCTCGAAAATTACGGATACTGACGAATGCTTCTACTACTGATGACGACTGCGAGATCGGCTACGATCTGTCTGACCCGAAGGGATTAATCGGAGTGGCGAAGATACCATCGACTGATCGCGATTCTTACAAGTTTAATCTACGTTCGAGGACAGAGAGAGAAAGAGAGAGAGAGAGAGAGAGAGAGAGCTAGTGCGATATTTTATAAAAACTTTTTCGCGACGCGAGCTTATGTTTAAACGATAGAAAAATCTACAAACGAGACAGACGCAAGTCGTCATATTATAAACTGTATACATCGAACGTACAAATAACATACCTATCACGTGCAATCGAACCGCTTTTCATAGATATTAATGGCTACAAATTTCGTACTATTTATTAAGCGTGGAAAAATCGACGCGCGATATATCCTATACGTATTTTCCGTCGTATTTTATGCCGGTCAGCAATATTGCCGATATTACGAGAATTTTGAGACAGATATATATCCACCAACGCGCGTGTGTCGACGCGCATATATTAAATTAAATATTTAACGCTAGCGCGATGTCACTGATACATTAGATAAAACAGGTTGTTACAGGAGAAAATGAATAATTCGCAACGTAAAGTGGCAACCGCGTACACAAGAGCTATAAATTGCCGTTGTTTAAGCATACGCGACTCTCTCTCTCTCTCTCTCTCTCTCTCTCTCTCTCTCTCTCTCTCTCTCTCTCTCTCGATCGATCGATCCAACGTCGTTACGACGCTAATTCAGTCACATGCCATTTAGTTTAATTATACAGGACGCGACATAATAACGGCATTCACAACAAAGTTTCGACATTACCGCGCTGATCTGTCGCGAGAGACACCGCCCAGATGTCAACTAGAAACGAAATTAGGCACGCAATAGCGTCTTCGATATCGGAACGATCCGCGAACGCGTGTATGAGCGCGCATAAATTTATGAAAATCGTATATTTCCAGTGATCGCGATGTAATCCGGGGGGAGAGGGGGGGAGGGACCGACGGTCGTTTTATGTTACAGCACGGATGACGCGCGCGATGCGATAATGCATAATCGTCAAAACGAATCTTAATGCGACCTAGTTCCGCTTACGTGACCTCGATGCCGACCTATAGTGGAACCACCGCCGCACCGTGTGCACGTGTGAAGCTATATTTTTTTAACGCGTCCTATGCTTTTCGATCGCGGAAGCATATTGCCGGAGAACGGAGCGTATTAGCGTGCGCGCGCGCGCGACGGAGATGCAGACATACGAGCGGGAAAACAACGCGCGGGAAAAATAATGAGCGGGCGAAGGAAAGAGGGAGGAGGAGGAAGGGCGGAACTGGTTGAAGCGAAACGCGGCAAAATCAGCAACGGAATATCAGCCGCGAAAGAAAAATGAATAAAATTCGCGCATTAATTGCGCCAATAGCTCTCGCAAGAGAATTAATTTCTTCTCTTTTCGTCCCTCTCTCGTTTTCCTCCTCTTCACCGAACACGTTATACGCGTTCCCTTTAAACGTATCTTAATCAACGCGCGAGCAATTGAGCAAGGACACATCATACATCATGCGAATATCGCGCCGACTGAGCGATAAAACGACAAACTTGCCGAGCGTGTTTGGAGTAAGTACGAGAGAAAATAAAGTGCAAAGATCGATGATGGAAAATGTGTACGCTAACCGCCTAAAAGTTGAGCCGCGGGACTGATTAAGAAATGCCTCACGGCCGAGTCTAGCGTGTATTTACGGAAATGATAGGACGACAAGTAACAACAGTTCAAGTGAAACATCTGATCTCGATGATATCGCGCCACATAATACACTCTGAAGAGCGATTAAACTATCGATTGTGTCGCACGCGACCGAGCGCCGTATCGCGAAATAGTATCGTCGTGTAGGAGAGCCGGCCGAACACACACACGGGAACTCGATACGGAAACGTCGCGCGCTTTCACTGGCGCGATAACGCGCCAACTAGTCGCTTGACAATCTTATATAACGCGACAACGTCATCACGACCGGTCTCAGTCCCCTGCGGTTTGCTCCTCTGTTCGTCACGTTCGTCTTCTTCTCGCGTTCTCGGTGCGTTCGGTCGGGCCACGATGGCGGCGAAAAACACAATGTTAGACTCGGACTGCATGACTCTCACGAGGTTCGTGCTGGCGGAGCAACGGAAAGTGCCAACCGCGACCGGCGACCTCAGCCAGCTACTCAACAGCATACAGACCGCCGTGAAGGCTGTCAGCTCGGCCGTGAGGAAGGCCGGCATCGCCAACATGTGAGTAGATGTCGTGGCGTCTCGTCCCGGGTCGGGCACCTTCCGACGTTACGGCGTCCGTGTTCACAGTGAGTGAACACACCACGCCACGCCACGTGGAAGGCGCGCGCGATTCGACGCGGCCGCGCGGCCGAGGGAAGAATACGAGCGAATCGAAAAATATTCCGGATGACTTTACGAATCTCGGATATCTTGACTTTTATAGACGAGAAACGTTGCGTCACACTCCGTTACCTAACCCAGCTCGCGGAGAAACTGTGTCATTTGAAATAGAGTCGACTCTCTATCTCTGCAATTACCTGAACCTCTCCCATTTCGACTTTTCTGCAGAGTCGCGCAGCGCGTCGTCTTCTACCTAGCGTCTTTTGAAAAAAGCGAGAGATACAAGTAGAAAATTTTCATATTACGCGGCCGCAGCCGCGTAGTAATGCCGCGAGAACGCAGCGCACACGCGGTTCTTTATTGTATATTTTCGTCGGGCGCGACGGGCTAGAAATTTAGCGAGCAGCCGAGGAAGAGCGCTCTCGGCGACTAACATCTTGTATAGTGCATGTGCAAAGTCTCCGTAGCGTCGTAACGTCCCGGCTAACGCTCGTCCCCGCGCGCGCGCGTGCACATCTCTATTTTATTCAAATGTATTCCGCAGCTGCATATTCTCGTCGCGCTCGCGCGCTCGCGAGCCGCCAATTCACAGTAGGCAGTAAAACATTTATCTCCGTGCCCCGACAATTCTGTGATCCCGCATGTAAATAACACACAAACGATTCCCCTATTATTGCAGCGCCTAATGCTTGCTGCGTCAATATGAATAAAACAATTGCGTAGCTCGCGCGTTCCGTCCCCTCCTCCCCCGGTTCCTCTTCGAATTTCCAATTAAACCGCCCTCATTTCAGACATCCAACACAAACTGCGAGCGTGTCGAATTGGATTGAGATATTCACCGGTGGAAAAATTAACATCTCTCGCGGACGCGACCGCCGAGCGTTATTTTTCAAAGATGTGACATCCGCTCGGCGTTTCTAATGATTTTACAAGCGTTACCGGCTGATCTTGCGGCGGTCAGACCGCAGACTGTGCGTTATCTTTGCATGCGACGTCACAATTATTCCAATTGATCTCGCGACGCGTGCTCGGGAATATCAATCGATCGTAGCCGAAACACGCACACTGATTCGCACACGCATTCTGATTTCATTGCTCAGGTACGGTATCGCCGGTAACACCAACGTTCAGGGCGAGGAAGTGAAGAAGCTGGACGTTCTGAGCAACGAGCTCTTCATCAACATGCTGACTTCCTCCTTCACCACGTGCGTCCTCGTGAGTGAGGAGAATCAGCATGCCATCGAGGTGGAGACGGAAAAGCGCGGCAAGTACATCGTATGCTTCGACCCCCTCGACGGCTCGTCCAACATTGACTGCCTCGTCTCGGTCGGCTCGATATTCGGAATTTACAAAAAAGCCGAACAAGCCGGGGAATCCGACATGGTTCAGGCGGCCCTCCAACCTGGTCGGAACTTGGTCGCAGCGGGATACGCTCTCTACGGTTCAGCGACCATGATAGTGCTCTCCATCGGCCGCGGCGTTAACGGATTCACGTACGACCCGGCCATCGGGGAATTTATACTGACCGAAAGGAACATGCGTCTGCCTGCCAAAGGCGACATATATAGGTACGCGAAAGAAGCCGGGGACTAGGGAGATCCCCGCTCTGCTGCGAGCTACCGAGTTCGTTATATTATAGTCGGAGGAGTTCACTCCTCTCTCTCTCTCTCTCTCTCTCTCTCTCTCTCTCTCTCTCTCTCTCTCTCTCTCTCTCTCTCTCTCTCTCGAAATGTCGCGCGGCGCGCTTTGACGAGATCACACGATCGTGGATGTAGCAATCGCACTCGACCGATCGCTCTCGACGACCGACTAATACGAAATCAAAGTCCAGCGTCTAACGGAGGAGCGTGTCGTTAAGGACGATATTCCTGTCCCACGCGTACAACGGAGAGAGAGAGAGAGAGAGAGAGAGAGAGAGAAATGATTAAGCCTCCCGTAGACTTTCATTTCGCTCTCGTGACAGGACTGCTCGTCCTGTCCTCCTCCTGTCTTCCTTCCTGTCGACTACATTGAAATCACCTACGACATCGTTATTTATAGTATTAACGAAGGCCACGAGGGTGCCTGGGACTCCTCCATTAAGGAATATATACGCACGAAGAAATACCCCGTGAGTGGAAAGCCGTATAGCGCCAGATACGTGGGTTCTATGGTCGCAGACGTGCACCGAACGATTAAATATGGCGGTATATTCCTATATCCCGCGACCAGCAGCAATCCCAATGGCAAGGTAATTTCGCATGACGCTCGTATCACGCGATAACTCGCGCGAACTTTGCAAAACAGACGCGCTTTTTCTCTCTCTCTCTCTCTCTCTCTCTCTCTCTCTCTCTCTCTCTCTCTCTCTCTCTCTCTCTCTCTCTCTCTCTCTCTCTCTCTGTCTCTCTCTCTCTCTCTCGGTGAGATACGAGAGAAAACAAGGCTGAGACGGCGAGCGATAATAACCTCGCGCAATGTATTGCAAAATACCCGCTCGCGCCACCTTCCTGTTTATCTTTTTTTCTTTGTATCTTTTCAGGTTTTATTCTTTTCCCTTTATCTTTATCTTTGCCCCTCGCCCTCCTCCTCCTCCCCTTCAGCGACTATTGCCAAACGCTTTGATCTTGCGCGGCCGTCGGAAGCGCTTATCGCGTTACGAACGACTTGTGTAATGAAGTAACTTTCTCTATATCGACTTTACTCCCCACACACAGTGATGTAGCGCATGCTTACGTTATCGTTTATCCGATAATTATGTGGAAACATATCGGACTCGGCGAATTATTTCTGACTAAAATAGATGAATAGATAGCCGCCACGTCACATTTAGAAGCGCGTCCGGTACCGTCGATTTTTGCCGCGCGAACACGGACGCAAAATTATCGGACTTCGCGGCGCGCGTTATTCAATTCGATAAACGTGGCGGTGCAGTTGCACCGGCTCGGTATCAAAACACCGATATCGGGGTCAGTACTCGAGAACTCGTTTACCAGTAATTAAGCTTAATTTGATTTCACATTATCGTCGCGCTTACACGCAAGCGCATCTCGCCGCATTTCGAAAACGTATACTTTATTCGCGGCGAAATTTCATACGCGTCCCCGTATTCGCACGCGGCGAATTAAAGCAACCGTGGCAGTTATTGTACAACTGTTGCTAACGCGATTTCCGCATTTCAGTTGCGACTGCTGTACGAGTGCATACCAATGGCCTTTATAATCAAGGAAGCCGGTGGTCTCGCGACAAACGGAAAAATTGATATTCTGGACGTTATGCCGGAGAGCATTCATCAGCGATCGCCCATTTTCTTGGGCTCCAAGGACGACGTTAACGACGTAATGGCGTGTATAAAAAATAACGCCAGAGAATGAAGTCAATCTTGGTGGAACGATCTCTCCGGAATCTCTCCCGAATACTTGAGCGAATCTGTCTCCTTTGATACCTCGGATATTATTGTCTCCCTCAATTTTGTAATAAACCACGTGTTTCTTATCCCACCGGATGGTCTGTGATTCACGTTCAGCGACGACCCCTGATTTCAGATGGTTCTTGCTGCGATATCAATAATTACCTCGGACTATGGAGCGCGCGCGCGCGTGTGTAATATGATTGCTAATTAATCGAAATTATAATTAAACAAGCGCAGGAATGTAATAAATCTCACGTTATCGAGTGCTTTTACCGTTATTACGGTAATTACCGGTGATTATCGGCAATTCTGATAAATCCAGAAACTCGTCATATTCTCACGGAATTCTTGTAGCAAACGTTATAATATCGCCGAGTTATTAAAATTATCTCGCAAACACACGTTAAACCGGACCTACTGCGCCGCGACGAAATGGCTGCATTAAAAAACATCATCCAAGCTGCTAACGTAAGCTAGACGTTGACGACCGGTCGCTGAACGACGTTAACACGCGGCTCAGTTAACATTTTTATGCGCTCTCTCCGAAGGAAAAAGGGAAACGAAAAAAGAACTCTACTCCCCTCCCTTCCCGTCCTGTCCCGCTGATTCGACCGGTGTGTGTGTGTATGTGTGTGTGTGTGTGTGTGCACCGTGACGTCAAGAGGCGTCACCGGTGATAATTTTTTTCTCTCCTCCCTGGTGCACGCGCTCGCAGTGCGCGACCTAATCAATCGCTGCGACGCTGCACCGTCGCGCCGGTCAAACGGCCGTTGGTGTGTCGAGCAATCATTTCCGTTCTTCCGCCGCTGTAACGGTTAGAGAGACCGGCGAGAGAGCACTGATAACGTCGCTATTTATTCCGCACGCGCGCCATGCGCGCACCGGGTCTACCGCTCTCGGCTCGCACGTTTAACCTCTTCAGCGTGCAGCCTCGGGCGCACCGTAGGAGCGCGAACTTATTGATCGGTCGGTCGACAGTGCGCCAGCGCAAGTCGACCGGACGAAGAGGGACATTCACGTACGAGTCGCCCTCGGCCGTAGTGTTTAACCGTCGTCTGGTTGCTGTTATGCCCGTCACACCGAAGCGTCCTTAGATGCTGCCGTCATGTCTGGTGGTACGTGAGATTTTTATTGAAAACATTTTTTTTCCCCCTCCCAGCCCCTCCTCTCTCTCTCTCTCTCTCTCTCTCTCTCTCTCTCTCTCTCTCTCTCTCTCTCTCTCTCTCTCTCTCTCTCTCTCTCTCTCTCTCTCTCTCTCTCTCTCTCTCTCTCTCTCTCTCTCTCTCTCTCTCTCTCTCTCTCTCTCTCTCTCTCTCTCTCTCTCTCTCTCTCTCTCTCTCTCTCTCTCTCTCTCTCTCTCTCTCTCTCTCTCTCTCTCTCTCTCTCTCTCTTTGTCGTTCCATTCCTCACCCGGTAGTAGAACGGAGAAATCGTACTCGCCGAGTCACCGTCTCGAGGTGCTGGCTCAGCCCTGTCACGATGTGAATTATGTAGAGACACGCTATTTATTGACACGAGTATGCACCATGGAAACGAAAGCCTATGGTAGTTTTTAGACCGAATGCTATATCCGTGATTCTACGCTACGCCCGAATCCTCGTGTTTCTGTACGAATGCCTGTATAATCGCAAAGTACGGAACTCATTGTAGTCACTCTGTAGAGGGAAGATAAGGGAAGGGTGAGAGAGAAAGAGAGGGAAAGAGAGGGAAAGAGATGGAGAGAAGGGTTCAATTGACGATGACGATACGTCGCGATATTAATGATCTTTTGTTTCGCTCAGTAAGACAGGGATTATATCGGATTCGCAACGCTGCCGGAGCAAGTGCACAGAAAATCAGTGAAGAGGGGCTTCGAGTTCACCCTGATGGTGCTGGGTGAAACCGGTCTCGGCAAGTCGACGCTCATTAACAGCCTCTTTCTCGGAGATCTATATAAAGACCGGCGAATTCCGGATGTGGCAGGTATGTAATTTATTCGATAGACTAAATCACCTGTTTGACTTTTCGTAAAAGCGTCCTGTAAGAGAAACCACCCTTCTTGTCGAGGGGAAAACTGAATTTCTTTCTTTCTTTTCGCGCACAGATATTACGTAATTAATTGTTACACGATCAATAGAAGCAATTATATGACGTTACTTCACGGATAGGTATGCAACTACCGGGTGTCGCTGTTCTAACATTTTCCGCGGATCTTCCGTCTCTCTCTCTCTCTCTCTCTCTCTCTCTCTCTCTCTCTCTCTCTCTCTCTCTCTCTCTCTCTCTCTCTCTCTCTCTCTCTCTCTTCCTCCCTCCCTCTCTCCCTCCCTCCCTCCCTCCCTCCCTCCCTCCCTCCCTCTCTCCCTCTCTCCCTCTTTCTCTCCACGTTATTGACCCGCGGAAAATATTTGAGCAGCTTGCAACGTTGGTAAACCGCTCGTTCTGATTTCCATCGAGTAGCAGTCGATAAATATTCATCGTTCACTTTCAGAGCGCGTGGCTAAGACTACCTCTATCGAGAAGAAAACAATGGACATAGAGGAGCGCGGCGTGCGGCTCCGTTTGACGATCGTAGACACGCCAGGTGAGAAGTTATATACCGACAAATTATTTTTTCCCGCTTGTATTAAAATAAACGTATATCGCATGTGTCGTCTATCTCATTTCACTTTATGTCTTAAATTAATTTTGTATAATGATTTTGCGAATATCAAACCTTTAATTTCGTACAATCATCTCGTCAAGATCATAATGCCAACATTACAATCTATCATGTAAAAACGAATATAATATATAAAAATGCCGATTTCGTAAAATCATTTTGTAAACTATGACACATCGTTCTAGGATTCGGCGATGCGGTAAACTGCGAGGACACGTGGAAAGCTTGTTCGGCATACATCGACGAACAATTTCGCCAGTATTTTACAGACGAAAGTGGATTAAACAGAAAAAATATTCAAGATAATAGAGTACACTGCTGCCTATACTTTATACCACCGTATGGCCACGGGTATGCGATAAATCAAGTGTTACATAAGCTTTACATGGCAATAACGATGAGACAATAACTAAATTCGCACGATCCTGATATCCTGCTAAGATAAAGCACTCCAGAATTTTAATATCGAATCAATTTCTTCGCAGCCTCCGGCAAATCGACCTCGAGGTATTAAGGCGTTTACATCGGAAAGTGAACGTGGTTCCCGTAATAGCGAAAGCAGATACTTTAACCACTCACGAAGTGAAGAAACTGAAAGAACGCATTTTAGCGGATATTGAGGAACACGAAATTCAGGTAACGTAAAGGAAATTCCGAGAAAGAACTTTTCAATCGGTTTGAAATCGGCCTGTGCTTTTCTCTTACCTCGAATAACGTAAATTCCGTGATAACTCCCTAACATTCGTCTCCCCGCAACACGCAGTAAACGCGCGTAAGCCTTTGTATCTTTGCGCAGATATATCAATTCCCGGATTGCGACAGCGACGAGGACGAGGAATTTAAGCAACAGGATAAAGAATTGAAGGCGTGTATACCTTTCGCGGTTGTCGGGAGTTCGACAGTGCTCGAAGTTGCTGGGAGAAAAGTTCGCGGCCGGCAATATCCATGGGGCGTAGTGGAAGGTGAACTTCTTACTCGTCTACATAAAATTATAATAACTTTTCGATTGTATCGTAATTTCATCCAAACGGTAAGTATAATTTCTCTCTCGACCAAACATTTCTGTTTAACAAACGCGTTCGAGAAGTCGACGGAAACGGAACAGTCACATTACGACGAGACCCGTTTAATCTTTGAAAAAGATCATTTGATTATCCACATGCAACGGATCACTGATGAATACCGCGCTTGTAAAGATTGCAAAGAAGTGATACGCGATCATCTGTCGAGCACGACTGAATACCGAGAATGGACATCTTCAGTTCTAGGAATCGTAAAGGGTGGACTCATTTAAAAGCTGATAAGTTGGAGTATTTAAATCAGACATGATCGTTCCGGACACATTTTTTAAATGTAATTGGAAAGTTAAATGTCATTAATTAATAACAACGGAAATATCAAGAGATAATGTGGCTGCTAGCATTTTATAATATTATTTTTGAAAGATATTTTTTATCTGTAATATCTGTAATAAATTTGCTCTTAAGCTAGTAAACATCATTTTTAATAAAACAGCTAGAGCAACGAGATGAGGAATATAGCAATAAATTGGCAACAAGAAGCACTAAATTTCTATTACGTTCGATTACATAGAAGTTGCTGTGTCAGCTTGATAGTCATTGGCTCGAGAATAAAATTCGATGTGCTTGATGCACATTGAAGTGACGTCGCGTCGTGTCTCATTAGAGAAATCCCGGACTTTTGATCAAACGGTTGAGAGTATGATTCAGATTAAAAGTAATTACGAATTAAAATCATAATTGGTGAAAAAGTCTCTATAGCTCTCAAACCTTTCACGCGTGATCGATAGTGTCAATTAGGGAATTATTCGAGAGCTGTGGAGATCGAATATATTAAAGTACGCTTCGCTTTTTCTCTCTGTCTCTTTCTTCCCCCCTCCCGCTCTCCCTCTCCTCTACCTCTCCTCTCTCCCTTTTTTCCTCGTCGCCAGTACTTTAGTTTTAATGCTCCAATTCTAATTGATCATAGTTGAGAACCCGAAGCACAGTGACTTTGTCAAACTAAGGACGATGCTAATATCGACGCATATGCAAGATCTAAAGGACGTCACGCAGGACGTTCATTATGAAAATTTTCGGGCCCAATGTATTTCTCAAATTTCACAACAAGCGATCCGGGAACGGAGGTATTTACGCATGTAAATAAATACTTTGCATTTCAGTAGGTATACGTATACGAGCGCTTACCGCGCGTTCGCAATGCGCACAGGGTGTGTCTCGAGTGAATAACTCCGCGAATAACTTTTATCGTGATCCACGTTTTGCAAATCTGTCGACATTGAAGAGCAACGTATTTTTATATTAGATCATTGTTACGCTAAAAGTATCGGCTCCTCTCGAATATCCCCCCCCTGTGCACTTTGCATGTTTGTTAAAAATACTCGTGTCACTTTCTAGGCTCGTAGTTTGCGACGTCCTGACGGTATGGTCCTGACGGTATGGTAATTTAATCGCGAGATTAGTTTTCGCATTAATTTCTCTGCATCGTTTTGATGAAAATCGTCAAAATTGTGAAATTAATATTTCTTTGTAAAAGATGCATCTTTTTCTCTATTATAATTCCCTTCCCTTCGAATAATTGATTACACACACGCTTTCTGTTTTATCTTTGCAGTAAATTAAAACGAGATTCCGGGCCGCACTTCGAAAACAGTATATCCGACACGGACAGGTTACTCCTGCAGAAGGACGAAGAGGTGAGAGCAACAAAAAAAAAGAGAACAATACCATCGAGTATAATTTTAACTGTTTAACGTGCTCAAGAGATATTTTCGTCGAGTACGGATCACTGAAGTTAATAATTCACATTTGCAATTCGCAGATACGAAGAATGCAGGATATCCTAGCGCAAATGCAAGAGAAACTTAAAGCCACCGGTCAGGTCGGTGGTGGTGTTGGATTGAGAGGTCGAGTTGGTAGCCTAGGCAACGATTTGGACTCAGCGGACGTGGAGAAAAAACGGAACAGTATTATAGACGTTTAAAGTAGATTATCCTCGGGGTATATTCAAAACACAGGGTTTACCCGAGAGGTCTGTACATATTTCATTTGATTTTCAGTTAGCTAAATTTCTTGAGTACTTGAGTATACGAGAAAATTCACAAAATCACTTCAAGTCTTAACTTGATATTTATTATCTTTTTTGAATTCTAGTCTTAAACTATTCGTTCCGACCGTATTAATAAAAATTTACAATCAAAACTGAAATTATACATTTGTATCTTTTCTTCTATAATAAAAAGTATCGAATATTTGTATATTTATATTAAATTTATATTTATTACACACGTTAGGCTCTCTTTCTCTCTTATATTCTTGTTGCTACATTTCATCTCGCGCTCGAGAGGAGACGCAAGCTAAAGCTGCCAAAGATTGACAAACGCTTACTCGCCAAACATTTGCTCGATTCTAGTTTGTACAGATCTGTCGACTACACTCTGCACTATATATCAGTGATATGCAAAATCGTATTTTGTACTTAGCGTGTATGAATTATTTATACAAAGCATAGACATTCATAACCGTAACTCGAAAACTGTTTAGAGAGAAATACATGGGGAAAATTTGTATCCGTTTACACCGAGTATTTCTTATAAGAAGACTGTGTGACAAATTGAGGAGAAAAATCGTCTTTTTTTAAGTGCAATGACATGCATTAGCATGATTATAACAAAGCTAAATAGCAAGATGAGATATCGAAAATCTGTTCCTCTTAACTGTGTTGCATTATGTACTTAATATAGCTATGAATTTCATACTTCAAAGATAAGACAAGCATATGAAGTAAAATATACTTAGTGAAAAATGAAGAGAAAGGAAAAAAAAATTGCATGGAATATATGAATATCAGAAATACATGAGAAGTACAGCTAAAAGAACAGATTTTAGGTCTGACTGATTGATTAGATGTGTAAAAAAAAAGTACTAAGACCAGTGGATTAATTCTAGTTTAGTATGCTAGTGTGCAGATTAATGGTACTGAATATATGTTAGTGAACTGTGAAAAATAATTAACGTTCTAAATGCGCACAATACTTCCCGTGATTACATGTAGAATTAATATGAAAAGTATTAATTGTCGAATTATAAAAATATGCGTTTACATGTCTATTAATTTAATTTTTATTGTTTTATTTCATAGTCTCAAACTTTACTGTTGAGAGATAGAGTATATAGGTGTTTTGTAACAATAAACGTGCCGTGAAATACAGCAAATTCCAATCTCAACAAATAGTAGAATTGATTAATTGATTTGATCTCTCTGATGCATTATTATCCGATATATTATATAATACTTTTTTTTTTTAAATAATGAGAATATCAATTTTTTTTAAATAATGAGAATTCGCTTTATAGATTTCTCTTCATTTCTAAAAATATCCCTCTGTCGCGATAATATAATAATTTACCGAATTGTAATAAAAAAAAAAGTGACGACAGGTGAAGTGCCGTGTGCAATAATGCCTTTTTGCAACCGCGATTTATTGTTGGAGCATTGTAGAATAACTTTAATCGTATAATCAAAGAAAAATTGCTACATGAGGATATTTGGAAAAGTCGAGGAATTTAACCCGAAGCGTTTAGAACGTTACGAAATTTGCGGAATAGTAAGTCTAAAAATGTTTACATTCACCGCTATGCTCCAGTTCTTCAAATTCCAACGTACTCCACAGAGATTCGGCCTCAATTCCTTCGTCTTTCCTCGTGTACTACTGTCTACACATATACCTTGTGTATCACTGCACACCACTATATACATACACTTCCGTAACGCGACTCGTAGACGAGTAATATTTTACGAACGATCATTATATTCAGCAACAAAGACATCGCGAAACGTACTCGTACTCGTACTCCTCATGTTTCGACACTTCACATGCTTTACAAAACGGACGTGTTTTACATCGACGAGCTCCTCTCGTATTTACTCGTAGTCACTATACATATGTACGTATACACACTTCCGTAAGGCGATGATTTACGAACAATATTTTCCGAACAATCGCTAAATTTGACGACGAAAACATCGCGAGACATATTTTTACAATCTTCGCGTGTTTCGGCATTTCACGATAAACCGACTACCGACATGCTTCGCGGCGCGATGCGTACGAATACACTATTCGAAAGAAAGTAGTTCCGCGCAGTTGCGATTGGTGGAGACAAAACCGACGCGGCTTACCTCACGACTATGGAATCAACGAGAATTCAACTTGATCGCAAACGAATATAATTTCATCGAGACGCTCACCGTTTCACGTTTCTCGAGTTTGTTTCCATGACGCAACCACCGTGATGCGAGCACCGTTCTTGTTCGTCGATCATCCTGGACGTTGTTCGGTTGCGATGAAAGCGTAATCGACAATAAAATCAACGATAAACACGCGAGCTCGTCGGAAGCCACGAAAGAAACTCCAGAACTGCGTTCGGAAACGTCACTCGCGGAAGCATCCGCTATTGGTGTGAGAGAGACGTAAGAATGAGATAAAGAAAGAGGGAGAACACTCGGCTAACGTTCGTTTCCGAACGTAGCCCAGAGATGGCGTCAGTGATGCACCCGTTGTTACACGCTCGCAAATCATTCACACATTCAACTAAAATTTCGCGTCGTATTTCGTACGTACGAGAGAGATATTGTAGGCACGAAACGATATTCCAGTTGCTATGTTTACATAATTCGGCATATCGCACTATCGCATTCCATCGTCTCGTAATATCTCAACATTATCATTTTAAACTGATTATACATAAACATACACACACATACATACACTTACTGGCGATCGTGTATCGTCCGTGTTTTCCTCCGCCACGATAAAATAGTGCGCCATAATATTAATAAATATTATATAAATCATCCTTTATCGAACAATCAACTTGATTTCTTACATAACGACGAAACAACTGACTACTGCTACATATTACCAATTATTTTATTATAAAGTATGAAAGTTGAGAAAATATTCACTTTTGTATTATTGAAACAAACGTCACAAAAAGTAGCCTTTGATCACGACCGCGGATCGTGTCGTTTCATTGCGTTATCAATTCAATATTCATCACGATAGCTTGCAACACCTCGGGATGTTTAAGTCTTACCGCAAGTCCGTCTAGAGAACGAACGCAAACGTGATGCAATCGACAGAACTATTAATACAACTTATTGTTATCCGTTGGGTAAGGCTCGCGCGCAAATTATACGGTAGTCTCGATTTAGCGAATACAGTGAAGCATCAGTCGTCGTGGATATTACCAAACACGAGAATTTCAAGTTGCAATTAATTAGTCGAATTGTCGCGTATTAAAACTTTCCATCGAGAAATCGAAGCAGTCAAAAGTTATTCCGGTATAACAAATAAACTTTGAAGACTTTTAAGACGCACAACTGAATCTTGTTGCGACGCAACACAACAACAGTCTAAAATCCTCATTCTTTATAGGGGCTGTAACAGTTCTTTCGTCCCCCCCCCCTCCCAGATTGTTTCCAATTATCAAATCTCTTAAGAAACTTAATGTAATTCAAAGCGAGAGATGCGGATTTTGTGTCTCGATAGGACGATAGTGTTGCATAGAAGCAGGAACTGTTGCGACTATGATGCCGAACGAATGATTAAGGCCGTGCCAGAAATCTGCGGTTTTATTATTAACCATAATTACAGTTATGCGACCGTATTAGGGCCGCCGAATAACTGCCGAGTTTCCATCTCCATGCCGTCGTGATCGAAATGTCGCTATATAAAACCGAGCGATGCAGTTGCAGATGAACCGTTTCAGTGTTGTTCGAACGCTCATAGGATTTCACCGAATTGTGCTAATGATTCGGAAGGTTGGTACTTTATAAAAGTGCTTTGTGAGAGAAAAAAGAGGGAGGGAGAGAAAGAAAGAGAGAGAGAGAAAGAGAGAGAGAGAGAGAGAGAGAGAGAGAACTTTTCGAAATTTTAAAGTTTGCTAAACACTTTACATGGGGCAACGGACAAAAATAGATCTTGCACGGTATAATTCTGCATCGTTTATTTTTAATAATATAATATCGTTAATAATGCTGTGTGTTAATGAAAACTACATGTACGGTTTCTTATGTAACTGAATAGTTTCAAAATCTTTTATTATAGTACAAAGTTTCTCGGGTTTTCTAGCGCTTTTCCTATCTAATTCATTCCTGTCGTGTCGAATGTATGCAAGTTGCTGAGTTTTCTTTTTTTCAAACAGGCGATACTATTAGCGATGGTCTTGGTTGGAGTTCGAAACGAACCGCAGGGTCCAGCCTATCTTCCGCCCAGTTCTCGACCTGGAGGTGGAGGGACAGGTCATCCGGATGAATGGGCCGGTGTAAGTATGTGTACATTCTTCTGAAAGAAAGAGAATCAAAGAAGAAGAGTCCTTTATGTTATCACGTTGTTTCTCATGAGTCACTTTCAAGTTTTATTTTGTAATATCTGCTAAAAATGATATTCTTTTTGTACATTAGGACCCAGCAAATTATGAATTTTCATACGAGGTCCAAGACACGGCGGCGGGTCTGGACTTTGGCCATCGTGAGATGAGAAAAGATATGGAAGCCACCGGGACCTACCATGTATTGCTGCCCGACGGTAGGACCCAAATTGTTGATTACGTGGCCGATGGGGCCGGATATCGACCCATGGTACGATACGAGGGAACTGCAACTTATCCAGCGCCAGGCGGACATTCTCAGGACGAGGGCTACAGATATTAAGGCCTCCGTCACAATTATCGCGCTTTAGACGCTTCTTTAAGTTTAGAACTTAGATCGTTAAGAGTTTATACGGATCTGGATCAGGTATCTTTAAGGATGCATTCTTAGAAGTAGCATTCTTAGATGCAAGCGATAACCGCTGGAGAGTCTAAGAGAAGAAGAATACTCCGGTTATCCGACGAGTTATACATCCGTGAGTTATGTGTGCGCACGAGTTATCCATTTAATAACGACGCTTGCGATTTGCATAATAATTTTTGATCCACAAACCGAAAGTGGTACAATGTGGAATAAAATAGCAGTGATTGTAACAATCGTAATACAACTGTAATTTTATTTGTTATATGTAATAAACAATTTGAAAATGATGAAATTTTTTCCTTCTCTACGATGTGTATAACTTTGTGAAGTATTTAATTTGTGAAATATTTGTAAAGTACTTGTTCACTTGTGATTACAATGCTATCATTTTTTAACTTTATTCTATTTCCGTTCAGCGAAATTTCAATCTAAATATATATATATATATACACAATCCGCGAATTTCAAAACATGATCTATATATATATATATATATATATATATTACTATATATATTACGATCTAGAAACTTGTATAAGAAATATAGAAAATTAGAAGGATGGAGAATTCTTTCTGACTGATAACTTCATGTAGTCTATCTTTGTCTCAACCAGGCACGAATGTATTCGTATAATCGTGCTATTTATCGATCAAAATATCATAACTTGGACGATCAATTGTTAATCAATGTAACTATTGGTCCATAAATTTTATTTAATTAATTAAGCAATATTTTCATTAAATAATTATGAAATTAATTCAAGGGTAATTCGCAATTCGCCCGACTAGAATCTATCTTCTTCGAGTCCGCCATCTTGTAATTTTCTATTCAATGACTGAAGTTTCCAGAATGCTTTCCAGTCCACGCAACACACGTTAAGCTCGGGTCTAGGTAATTTCGAGATTTCGGAACGGTTCGGGCGACCAGTATTACTCAGTGAAAGTGTTAATAGGATTTCTGCGATTGCTGTTCCGTGATTTATACTAGAAGTATTGTCTTGGGAAAGAACGAAACATATCTAGGATACACTGTCTCTAAAAAGCAGCCTGATCAACGTTAAACCCGTTAACACTTTCCTCACTATAGCCACTTCGTGTAAGTAATTAGCGCATGTAAAATCTCGATATATGCGTTTCAACTCAAATACTCGTCGATATAATAGTCACATATAGTCTTGTCGTTACATTATAATTTGTGAACTATATTGTATCTGTCAGTTCTGCGAATATACGTTTGATTTTTCTAGAAAGCCATTGCTCTCTTTATGTCTCTCGTGGAATCGTGATATCGCAAATATATTAAATTTTAGTGTATATAGCCAAGAGTCTTTCCGTTTACTATATTTCTTTGAAAAAATCTGAAAAAAATGGCAAAATGGGGTGAAGGTGATCCTCGTTGGATTGTAGAAGAAAGACCTGATGCAACTAATGTTAATAATTGGCATTGGTATGTTAAAATGTAGCACTTAATTGAATTCTATGTTTGCTATTGCCTAGGGAGATATTTATATATCGACATATTTCTTGTATGCCTATCTTTTATTATAAGTAAAAATTTTATTATAGGACAGAGAAAAATGCTTGTGCATGGTCGCAAGAAAAGTTAAAAGAGTTGTTTTTAAATACAAGAATCGAAGGAGATGGAGGTTAGTCATCATTTGCTTGTGTATTATATGATCAAGAAAACAGCTTAAATATCTTCATCAGGACATGTAATAATATTCTTTGTAACATTAAATATATTCAATTTACAGTATCATGTAAAATAACAGAAATGGAAAAATGTGAAGGTGAAGCGGTAGCAAATAATAGAAAAGGGAAACTTATTTTCTTTTATGAATGGAATATTATCTTCAAGTGGATATTAGATGAAAAATCAAGTAAAATTGAGGGTAAAATTAATATTCCCAATCTGTCTGAAGAAAATGATATCAGTGAAATAGATGTAAGTGTTAATATCTATCTTTTTTGTGTATTTTCCTTTTCTTCTCTCTTACTTTTTTCTCTAATTCAATATATAATTCTCTCTCTGACTAAATATTTCTTCTAAAAATCCTAACTAAAAACTTCTCTCTAAATAAACATTTAATTCAGTAGATATCTTATAATTTACAGATTGAAATTACATTAAAAGATAGTACAGAGGAAGGAGAAAAGGTGAAATATTTCTTGCATACGAAGGGAAAGGATGTATTAAGACAAAAATTGGAAAAATATGTATCTTCTCTAAAAGAAGGTAAAATACTTTCTGAAGTATATATATATATATATATATATATATTGCTATATTTGATATACATAACATAAAGCAATGTTACAATTGTTGTTACAAGCAAATGTACAATTTTTCCTCTTTTTACATAGAATTTACAAAAGGAATGATACTTCCTAAGAAAGATAATGTAAAGGAAAATATTTCGAATATAACGTCTGGCTTCAATGTCAAAGTAAGTATACAAGACATAAATGTGATGACAAAATATAAAATAGAACCAATTATAAATACGTTTCTTT